CCGCCCCCCAAGTGCACAAATTTTTGTGCACCGGGCCTCTAGTATATATATATATAAAGAAATTTAAAAAGCCAGTAACCTGATAATTAACAAATACTTTGATAGGTAGTGCGTTTTGTATTAACATACAATTATTATTTTTTTGTATTAAAAATAATTTTCTATTAAAACGCAAAGACAGTTACCTTTCATTTGACGATTTCCAGGATCCTCCTTTTAAAATCATTTATTAACCCTTGTGTTTATTTTTAGAAAATATGAGGCACTCTAGTTTGTATTTCTTTTTTTTTCTATGTACTATTTTTTAAATTAAATTTATTTGGGTGACACTGGTCAATAACATTTTATAATTTTTGTGTGTACAGTTCTATAATACATCATCTGTATATTCCACTGTGTACTCACCACCCAAAGTCTGTTCTCCTTCCATCACCATATATTTGGCCTCCTTTACTCTCTTCCTCCTCCCCCGATCCCTTTCCTCTCTGTTAACCACCATTCTGTTGTCTGTGTCTATGAGTTTGTATCTTTTGTTTGTTTGTTGTTTTCTGTTTTATATCCCACATATGGGTGAAACCATATGGTTCTTGTCCTTTTCTTTCTGACTTCATTTAGTACAATACTCTTAAGATCCATCCATACTGTTGCAAATGGTGTACCTCTGCACTTTACTTTCATAGCTCCTCTGAGTCTGTGTGTTCTTCTCTTTCCTTCTAGTTGTAGAATTTCCACTCAGCCAGCCTTCCTGTGGTTCTGGATGATGACCGTTCTGTCTTTTAGTTGTATTTTTGAAGTTGTTGTCGGAGGCAGCAATTTCCGGTGTTTTCCTATGCCGCCATCTTGGTCTCCTCCTACTTGCTCCAGAATCCTCCTTTTAAAATCATTTATTAACCCTTGTGTTTATTTTTAGAAAATATGAGGCACTCTAGTTTGGATTTCTTTTTTTTCTATGTACTATTTTTTAAATTAAATTTATTTGGGTGACACTGGTCAATAACATTTTATAATTTTTGTGTGTACAGTTCTATAATACATCATCTGTATATTCCACTGTGTACTCACCACCCAAAGTCTGTTCTCCTTCCATCACCATATATTTGGCCTCCTTTACTCTCTTCCTCCTCCCCCGATCCCTTTCCTCTCTGTTAACCACCATTCTGTTGTCTGTGTCTATGAGTTTGTATCTTTTGTTTGTTTGTTGTTTTCTGTTTTATATCCCACATATGGGTGAAACCATATGGTTCTTGTCCTTTTCTTTCTGACTTCATTTAGTACAATACTCTTAAGATCCATCCATACTGTTGCAAATGGTAATATTCTATCCTTTCTTATAGCTAAGTAGTATTCAAGTAAATATATGTTCATATCTTCTTTATCAAATCATCCATCGAAGGACACTTAGGTTGTTTCCATGTTTTGGCCATAGTGTATAATGCTGCAGTGAACATAAGATTTTTGTATGAGTAGGAGGCTTTGTGAGGACTTACTGCTAGTTTCCTGCAGAGAAATTCATTCCCCCTTACAGTTAGCTTTAGGGGCTTTAATGAATTACAACCATGGTAAAGGGTGCATTTGGGTATAATTCTGAATGTCTACCCTTTCCCAGCACCTGCATTTTACTTCAATATAAGGTATTTTCTATTTTGAGGACTAAAATCTGATTGGTTAAAATAAATATCTCTGTCTTTAAAGATTGAGGTGAAAGGCGGGGCTAACCAAACTGCTAATGAAAAAGATGAACTTCAGCCTAGTAATTAGCTAATTAATCAATATGTTATCATTTTTTTATAGGAAAAATACCAACGTGAGCAGGAGAAACTAAGGGAAGAGTGGCAAAGAGCTCAGCAGGAGGCTGAGAGAGAGAATGACAAGTTCTTGAATGAGGTAATGTTAGAACGTGTTCTTCCTTCTCTGTCTTGATGAAATCTGCTGAAAAATGGAAGACTGTCCATTTCACTTGGCTTTTGTCATACACTCGCCAATGTATCTCTTTGAAAAATATAATGAGCTCTGATTTATCAGAACTTTGCTTTGATGTTTCAACATTTCTCCTAGTTTCTCTACTCAATAATTAAATTATTTTATCTACAGACTCTAAGTGTATCTTCTTCTTCTAAGTTACATCTCCATCACCCACGTGTGGCTTTGTTAGTGATAAAATTTAACATCATTTCAATAGAATTCTGGGCCAACTACAATAGATATAATAAAAAACTGAATATAGACATATCTTAATCAAATTTCACCCCCTGGTTGTGCAGGAGCTGATGGTCCTGAACTCAAACATCACAGCTCTGACCACACGGGAGCCTACTGTTGCCACCTTGGAAGCCACCTGGGATGAAGGGTCCAAGTCTTCTGACAGGGAAGGAACCCGAGCAGGAGAAGAGGGGAGGAGACAGTGGCACGAGGAAGGGATGATTGAGGACCAAAGAAAGAAGCTGCAGGAACAACTTACTATTGAGAAAGAGAGGGAACTGAAGGAGCAACAATATGAGGAAGAGCAGGAGGAGATGCGGCGCCAGGCTGAGGCTGAGGAGCAGAAGCGCTACGCAGAAGAACAGAAGCGCCAGGCCGAGGAGCAGAAGCGCCAGGCTGAGGAGCAGATGCGCCAGGCAGAGGAGCAGATGCGCCAGGCAGAGGAGCAGAAGCGTCGCACAGAAGAACAGATGCACCAGGCAGAGAGAGAGAGGGAAACGTCAGTCCGAATATACCAGTATAGAAGGTCTGTTCCCTTGCCAATGGGTACATGTGATTTTCAATTGGCTTGGCTTAGCTGTATCCATTCCTCACTTCGAAGGCACCTAATTGGTTTTCCTGCTCCCTACCATCCATTCTCTACACAAGTGAACACAAGCAGCCAGAGTGAACCCATCCCGTTGTAAATCTGAACCTATCACCTTACTTTCCTGCTCAGTGTCTCCAAATGGCTTCCCTCACATTAGAATACCACCTGCACTCCTCCCCGGGGCCTTAGAAGGCTTGTATGAAGTGTCTTGGCCCTTTGGTCTATCTACCTTCCTCTGACTTTCCCTCACTTGGTGTGTCATAGCTGCACTATCATCCCTTTCCTATCTGGAAAATGCACAACATATTCTGCCCCTTGGATTTTTGCATTTTCTAGTTCCTGTGCCTGGAGAAGTGTTCCCTCACGTGTGTTTTGTCTCACTCATTTTGTTTAAGTCTCTGATGCAATGTCACCTTCTCAGACTTTCTAAAATGCTTCATCTAAGAAACATGGCTCTCCCTACCCCTTTCCTCCATGTGCCCTTCTCTGCTTTATAATATGCATTTATTTGCTTGTGGTTGGCCTGCATGCCCCTTTAAAATGTAAGCATTAGGAGGCCAATAAGTTTGTTTTGTTTCCCTAGAACCCTACTGGGTCATAGCAAGCACACAGCATGTATTTGTGGAATGAATTGCAAATGTCTGTTGGTAGCTGTAGGTGTGTTTTCTTCAATGATTGATTGAAATACTTCTGTGTGTTTAGTTTTCAAACAAGAGAGCATTCTCATACAGGTGCTAGAATAACATAATTTTGTTATCTATTTCTTAAACCCAGGGAAGGCATCAAAGCTTTATTTTTATCATAAACCTTTTCCATCTTTCAGGCCTGTTGATTCCTATGATATACCAAAGGGAGAGGAAGAATCTTCAGGTTTGCTTCCTAGTGACAGGTGTGTAGAACATTTCATTGTAATTTGGTAGGAGTAATTGACTTCATATGAATTTCTGAGGGCTTGCCTAGGTGTTTTTGTAGAACTACTATAGCTCTTGATCTGTTGTGGGATGCAAAGAGAACTTGCTGGTTGATATGTAAAACTACCCCTCAACTTAGTAACTTAATTTATGATTTTGTGGGTCAGCTTTTTGGGCTGAACTCAGTTGACAGTTCTTTTAGCTGATTGTGCTCATCATGCGTCTACTACCAGTTTTCTAGGTAAACTTTTGGGGAGTTGGCTGGTTGTCAGCTGGAGCAATGAGTCCAACTGGACTGTGTGCTTTTCAACATGCAGCAAAGCAGTGCAGGCTTGCATACATGGTGGCTGGGGAGAGCCAAGAGAGAATTAAAGAGCAGAAGCATGCCGGGCACCTCGCAGTCTCAGTTCTGACCTGGCACGCCATTGCTTCTGCCACATTCTACTATTTCAAGTAAAGTCACAGGGCCAGCCCAAGTTCACAGAGAGAAGAAGAACTCTACCTCTTTATGGGAGGGGCCATAATGCATGGGGAATGGGCACAGGGGGAGAATTGTGTTCATTTTTTGCAATCTACCTTAACAATTTTTTAAAAAGCAATTATAAGCCATGGCATAGGCTTGCCCAAAATGAAGTTACATGAGGACATCTGAAATGAGAAATGTGGCCCCTCTCTTAATTTGATTAGAACTACTGGTCAGTTTTGGGGGAATACAGATAGGATTTCAGATATCTGAAAAGTTATATGTGCTTCTTCAAAATTTCCTAAATCATTAAATTTAATGTTTTTAAATAATTTAAAAAATGAGTTGCACTTTTGAAATCATTACACAGGATAAAAATATCCAGTGTATGACCATTGATTTGTGTTTTCAGAGCTGAAATTTCTTTAGGAAGTTTGCCTTCTAGATAAGGAAAGACTCATCTGTATAGGCAGTCAGGAGACTGACTAGGACTCAGAGTAGATAGGAAAAGAAGCCTGACTATACAGGTAATGGCGGGCTGATATTCAGCAGGAAAAAGTTCTAGTGGTGAATCACCTGACTTATAATACGTGATTCTGGGTACCTGTAGATGGTTAAAATATGTATATCTCCTTTTTAAAGCCATGGGCCTCTTTGTATAATTAAGTAAGCTTTAATTATATAGCTCATTACCTGGAGAAAATAATTAGATTGCAGGGAAAGGAAACTTAAGGAATCCTCAAAAATATGAAATACTTAGGCATTTGTGATGTAGCGTGCCCTCAAGGAATTAAGGAGTGTGTCATAAAAGTATTTTCTTCTATGTGAATACAAATGAAACCATTCATAAATGTTGCTAACAGTCATGTTACATTATTATATATTATCCACTATTAAATGTATACATACACACATATATCTTGTATGTATGTACATATGTAAGAGAAGCATACATATGTATGGTAACATATATCATCACTCATTTTTTTAATATATATATTTTATTGATTTTTTAAAGAGAGGAAGGGAGAGGGATAGTCAGAAACATCGATGAGAGAGATAGATCGATCAGCTGCCTCCTGCACACCCCCCACTGGGGATGTGCCTGCAACCAATGTACATGCCCTTGACTGGAATCGAATCTGGGACCTTTCAGTCCGCAGGCCGACGCTCTATCCACTGAGCCAAACCAGTTTGGCATCATCACTCATTTTTATTACTATTATTTGAAGTTAAAGTGCCTAGTAGAATGAGAATGAGATCAGCAAGTATTGCTATGCAGACCTACAGTTTGCATTACAAAGTCAGGCATTTTTGGAAGTTGCCTATGCCAGTGCACTTCCGTGCCTCTAGAATTCTAGGATAGCATTTGGTAAATTGCTCTTTCAGAGTAATACATTAGTGCCCCAAAAGTTGACTTCTTGACCCTTGGACAGTACGAAGCAAGTAGGACCGTCTGATGTTAGGAACCCTGATGACAAAAGCTTTGTACATCCGGTAAGACTGGGATCTGGAAGAGCGTCAAAGTACATAATTGGGTCAAATCGTAAGCTTAGTCATCATACAAGATGCAGGAGATTTTCACATGATTATATATTTCTAGCATCAAGCTCTTCTCTCCTCTAGAGATGTCACTGTTTCCTGCTAGTTTGTGCAACATGAAAAATCCTTGATATAAAAATAAATGTAGTTCTCAACAGACATAGGAAATAAATTGCTTCTTTAAAAAGTTATATTTTTGGTTCTTCATAAATATGAAAAGGATGTTCTTAATGAGACATGTGTAATATACTGTGTTCTGTGTTCTAGGAATAAATCCAGATCCACTACCGAGCTCGATGATTTCTCCACAAATAAAAATGGTAAATATGAAGTTTTTCCAAAATTGTTTATTTATGCTATCACATGCTACGATCAGTATTTTTAAGGTCAAGATATTTCCGGTTCATTAAGATTACATAGTTAAAATACCGAATATTCTTAGCATTTGTGTTTAAAAACAAAACTATCTTTTGCTTATTTTGGCTTTACTTTATAATGGGGGGAGTACTGGGAGCTTAAAATGGTTTTAAATAGCTAATGAAATATGTGAGAATTTGCCAAGTGCTGCTGATAGAGTTTTGTATAGTAGATTTCATCTTGTAGCTAAAGGAATGGCACAGAAAAGTTTTCTGCAGAATATTAGGGGACTTAAAAATTGCATATAAAGTAGAAATTGTACATTTAGATGTCAAAAAATCCAAAGTGGTAATGATTTTACTAACTTGGCAAAAACAATTTGGAACCCGATATTGTTAGTATAAAGTGCCTTTCTAGGTACACATGTAGCTGATGTTATGCAACTAAGAAAAAAATGAAGAAAAAGGCATCATTTTAAGCAAGGTTTGCATACCAGGCTTTGTGGAAGCAGGGCTTTGGTCAGTTATGTAAACGAATGGAGGTCCAGGTGAGGGTTGAGGTGAACTTGGTGAACATGAACACATCCATCTAAATGGACAGCCACTCCTATCCAGCTCCAGCCTGTTACTGCCAAGTGGGAGAATGGAAGCCTGTGATTACTGACCATTTCTATTGCAAGAGAAGTAAAACAAACAAACAAAATCTGGATTTTTTTGGTTATATTTTAAGCATTGACAAGGAATTTAAAAATTTAAAACCCTCTGTGAACCAAACCACATGTACAGGTCCGAATAGTCAGTTTGTCACTTCTTGTTGAAACTTGTAGAATTTACAGTTTTTATTAGGTTCGATGATCACCCCTTTCCTTTTCATCATCTGGTCCTAGTTTATCTTTCCAGCCTCTTTTGCTATTATTCCCATTAGGAACACTTAACTATAACCAAAGTGTTCTCTCTCTCAGTTTCCAACTTACCAGATGCTTTCTGACCTGGTTCTTCTGGTCTCACCTATTTGGAGTTCTAGTTTCTTCTCCCCTGAATTTGCCACTAATCACCCTGAAAATGAAGGTTTAAGTACTTCTGTCTGCCATGAAACATTGTTAACCTGCATTGATAATTTTCTCTCCTGAACTTAAACACATGACGTGTTAGTAATGGCAAGTGTGATTGTCTGAAATTGACTCATTAGTATCTGTGGCTGGTGTTAACCTGATTATTCTGGCATGTATGTCTTCTCCTCTTAACTAAATGAATCGCAGGCAGTGGAAGTTATCAAATATTTTACTAAAAAACTTGGTTATGCCAATAAGGTACTTTTAAAATAGAAAATGTTTCATTTCAAATCTGACGAAATTGGTGAGTTGTGTGATACACAAATATAAACATAGATGTACACAAGGAACCTTTGGCAACCTTATTCATGGCTTACTTGAAGAACTAAGGCAGAGACACATCAAGAATTTTGAAAGAATGTCAATAGCAGTGAATCTGGAAAGTAAAAGAATATATCACGACACATGCTACGATCAGTATTTTTAAGGTCAAGATATTTCCGGTTCATTAAGATTACATAGTTAAAATACCGAATATTCTTAGCATTTGTGTTTAAAAACAAAACTATCTTTTGCTTATTTTGGCTTTACTTTATAATGGGGGGAGTACTGGGAGCTTAAAATGGTTTTAAATAGCTAATGAAATATGTGAGAATTTGCCAAGTGCTGCTGATAGAGTTTTGTATAGTAGATTTCATCTTGTAGCTAAAGGAATGGCACAGAAAAGTTTTCTGCAGAATATTAGGGGACTTAAAAATTGCATATAAAGTAGAAATTGTACATTTAGATGTCAAAAAATCCAAAGTGGTAATGATTTTACTAACTTGGCAAAAACAATTTGGAACCCGATATTGTTAGTATAAAGTGCCTTTCTAGGTACACATGTAGCTGATGTTATGCAACTAAGAAAAAAATGAAGAAAAAGGCATCATTTTAAGCAAGGTTTGCATACCAGACTTTGTGGAAGCAGGGCTTTGGTCAGTTATGTAAACGAATGGAGGTCCAGGTGAGGGTTGAGGTGAACTTGGTGAACATGAACACACCCATCTAAGTGGACAGCCACTCCTACCCAGCTCCAGCCTGTTACTGCCAAGTGGGAGAATGCAAGCCTGTGATTACTGACCATTTCTATTGCAAGAGAAGTAAAACAAACAAACAAACTCTGGATTTTTTGTGTTATATTTTAAGCACTGACAAGGAATTTAAAAATTTAAAACCCTCTGTGAGCCAAACCACATGTACAGGTCCGAATAGTCAGTTTGTCACTTCTTGTTGAAACTTGTAGAATTTACAGTTTTTATTAGGTTCGATGATCACCCCTTTTCTTTTCATCATCTGGTCCTAGTTTATCTTTCCAGCCTCTTTTGCTATTATTCCCATTAGGAACACTTAACTATAACCAAAGTGTTCTCTCTCTCAGTTTCCAACTTACCAGATGCTTTCTGACCTGGTTCTTCTGGTCTCACCTATTTGGAGTTCTAGTTTCTTCTCCCCTGAATTTGCCACTAATCACCCTGAAAATGAAGGTTTAAGTACTTCTGTCTGCCATGAAACATTGTTAACCTGCATTGATAATTTTCTCTCCTGAACTTAAACACATGACGTGTTAGTAATGGCAAGTGTGATTGTCTGAAATTGACTCATTAGTATCTGTGGCTGGTGTTAACCTGATTATTCTGGCATGTATGTCTTCTCCTCTTAACTAAATGAATCGCAGGCAGTGGAAGTTATCAAATATTTTACTAAAAAACTTGGTTATGCCAATAAGGTACTTTTAAAATAGAAAATGTTTCATTTCAAATCTGACGAAATTGGTGAGTTGTGTGATACACAAATATAAACATAGATGTACATAAGGAACCTTTGGCGGCCTTATTCATGGCTTACTTGAAGATGAACTAAGGCAGAGACACATCATGAATTTTGAAAGAATGTCAATAGCAGTGAATCTGGAAAGAAAAGAAAATATATCACTAGGTGAAATTTCCTAATCCCAATCAAGGTGGGGAGGATTTCAAAGTTATGGATGTTCTAACCAAACCAGAAATTAACCAGCAAATCCAATGAGTCAAAGCCTTCAGGATAAAACTTGACTTAATTTTCATTCATAAATTTGACTTGTCGCTTTGTCGGTTTCTTAGAAGAGAAACAAGTCTCATAACATCCCTTGGTTATCCTTCGGGCGACTTCGCTATTTTTCCGTTTCACAAAAGCCAGTGTAGTGATTGAATATGCTCTTATTTCTTCAATTTGGTCGTGGCTTAAAGTCATAGACTTATACCATGGAGACTCGAGTCATGGCATCTACAGATGCATGCGTGTATGTCTTCACTCTCTTCCCAGGGGACGTGTAAGTTTTTTGAGAGAACGCCCAGCTCCCCGTGGAGTTGTCACAGCAAGCATTCAGTGAGCATGAGCTCGATTGACTTAATTTAGTAAGGAAGGGAAAAGTGGTAGAGAAACCGCTTCTGGATGAGCATTTAGTAACTCCCTATTGCTGAAATCAATGTGGTTGTCTCCTTTCCAGGCAGCCTCCTTAGTTTTCCTGAGTGCGCTCTGCGATGTGCCTCTGGGTGTGGAATTGGAATTTCCAGGAGTAGGTTCCCAGGCAGCAGCCTCATTGAGAATTGATACTGTTAGCATATGTGCACAATGGAACATTTTTTGCTACACTCTCTTTGGAGATGCATCCACTCTTCCTTTTTTAATGTGCTAACCCTGCAGCTTTGGATGTGTTTTTAATTTAGGAAGCCATAAATATTTAGACCGAGTTGGGAACGGTAGCTCAACACAGAGGAGCGCCAAGAAGGAACCAGGCCCATCAGGAGCAGAGTTGGAGAGGCAACAGATCCTTCAAGAAATGAGGAAGAGAACATCCCTTCACACCGACAGCAGCTGGATCCGTCAGCGCAGTTCCAGCGTCAATAAAGAGCCCATTTGTCTGCCTGGGATTATGAGAAGGTGCGAGACATTTTAGGAATTACTTCCTCTTCTGTGCTGTGAGGCAAATATTTAATTTCTAGACATGCTGGCTACTTTGGGTGAAGAGATGTCATAATTTCTTCTCTTAATCCAAGATGTAGTGGGAGAGAGGCAAGTAAAGCAAATGTCATTGGGCACTCAGGTGCCAGGCCCCATTGTCTGGGGAAAATGTTTTGAGGCAGGGATAAGCTTCCTGTTTTCCACACGAGGAGACTGTGGCTCCAGCAGGGAATACATGTGGACAAAACCAAATGACTAATAGCTTTCAAAGCTGATGTAAAAGTCTGAAGTGTGATTTGGGCACTTAAATAATTCATGCAGTTCTTGGTGCTTCCTTGGATGCTGGACTTAAAATTAAGCTTCTGTTTATTTGTTTATAATGAGATAATGGTTAGATTGGAATCATAATAGTGTTCACAAAGTGTGAAAATGGTTAGATTGGAATCATAATAGTGTTCACAAAGTGTGAAAACTCAATTTTTTTAACTTCCTGAAAAATATATAGATATAAATTAATTGGAGATGAGAGGATGAACATTTTAAAAGGTGTATCTTGAATACTAAGGCTACTTTTATTCAGTATTTCCACAGCTAAGAAACTAAGGAAGATTATCTGCAACACATTACAGGCAAAGGGCTAATTATCTCAATGTACCACTAACTTTTGTAAATCAGTAGATAAACCCTGACGGCTTTAGAAACAGATAATTGATAAGAATAGATAGTTCATAGAAATAGAAATAAAGTCTTTAAACATATAAAAGATCAACATATATGGGATTTGTAGAGAGTTAAAATGAGTGTGTAAGTCTAGTATTGACGAATGTATAAGGAAACAGGGATTCTTCCTGATTGGTTGGATGGTTTTCCAGTTATTAGCAAACCTCCATTTGAGCAGAAGTGTTTGTTTGTACCCTGTGAGCACTTTAGTTTCTGGCATTTTATCTTCTGGATATGTTTGGTTAAGTATGCAAAGATATATCAAAAATATATACTTTATTATTATTATTACTTTATTGATTTTTGGTGGGGAAGAGAGAGAGAGAGGGAGGGAGAGAGAGAGAGAGAGACAAATTTGTTGTTCCACCCATTTATGCATTTACTGGTTGATTCTTGTGTGTACCCTGACTGGGGATTGAACCTCCAATCTTGGCTCATTGGGGTGACACTCTGACCAGCTGAGCTACCTATCCAGGGCAATACCTATCTAATAAAAGAGTAATATGCAAATTGACCATCACTCCAACACACAAGATGGCCAGAAGGAGAGGGCAGTTGTGGGCGATCAGGCCAGCAGGGGAGGGCCGTTGGGAGGGACCAGGCCTGCAGGGGAGGACAGTTGGGGGCAACCAGGACTGCAGGGGAGGGCAGTTGGGGGCAACCAGGCCTGCAGGG